ACCTATGGTCAATGACAAACCAGAGCCACGAGCTACCTTTCTCTCTACGATCGGTACGATCATACGGAAAAGGAGAAAAAGAATTTCGAGCGGCCGCAATTAAATTAAATGTTCTCGTGGCCGGAGGTTGAACAACCCTCGAAATAGCTGCCACCACGTGCAAATCGGCGGCCCCTCGATGCATCTGTATTTCCTTATCGTGTATCCTCCAATCTGTCACCTTCTTACCATCAAATTGCATTTACCATCCTACGCAAATACCATCCAAATAGCCCGAATATACATTTGTTCTTCAATCTTTTCACTTTCCTACTCGTTTTCCTCTGATGTTACCTAATTTTCAACCTTACATACCTCGTACGAACGCCAACGAATTCCGCATTTAGCCTTACCGATCACACATTACCACCCTCATCAACCCCCGGCCCTGCGCATTAAAGAATACCATCAGCGTACACTAATCTTGTCCAGTGATATTAATGGCAGTCGTATCTTTGTTCTTGTTTGTTCCCGGTCCCGCTCGCTCGGCTATACGTTCGGCTCTGGTTCGTCATTGTTCTGTGTGTACCTACCCGCTACCTTCACGAACACGGATTTGCGCTGGGGGTCCATCCACACACGTGGCTCTCCGTGTGCCTCCTCCTACGCCACAAATATTGGTTCGTAACGGAAAATATCTTTTCTTTTTAATTGGGTGTCGATATTTATAACGGACAATGGTGCTTGGTCTCTCTCTCTCTCTCTCTATATATATATATATTTCTCTGTTTCTCTCTTAATTCTTCCGTAACTCTACATTATTACTTATTACTTTATTCGCTCTTTCACTGTTTCTTTGCCATTTCTCTCACTCTTTGCTTAAAAAAAAAAAATTCTATTTAACTCTTTCTCGTATTACGCTGCTTTTTTTTTAATTTTTTTCATTTCCATCTCTGTCTAACCTTCGATCGCCTTATTCACTTGAATGCTAATTCTCTATATAACTATAACGATTAACAACAACGACAATAAAAAAAAAACAATCGGCATTTCCCTTTCGTTCGTTTGCGAAAAATGAAAAAAATAATAATAATAATAAATCGGTCGGTGACGGTCCAGCAGGCCCACCGTCGGCGATTCTCGCGATGAGATTATCGCACCCGTTACACGGCAACCCACTGCTGCCACCGGGTGTATGCTATACCTGCGACGTTTGCGGTAAAACCCTTTCCACGAAGCTCACCCTCAAACGGCACAAAGAACAGCAACACTTTCAGCCCCTGAATAGCGCGGTCTGCGCTCTCTGCCACAAGGTGTTCAGGACGCTCAACAGTCTGAACAATCACAAGAGCATCTACCATCGTAGGCAGAAATAGAGCCGGTTATCGTCGCGTTATGCTCGCATCGTGCCGAGGAACACTGTAAAACGAGCTTAGTAGAAAGACAGAAAAAGCACGAAGGAAGGAAAAAAACGGTGCCAATGGACGACGTTGTGGGGGCTCCAAGGAATGAGAACGATCAACTTGTCGACAGCATGGCCGCTCGAAGGATCGCGATTGTTCTTCTCATTTTTCTTTCCTTTCCGCGTCTGTTCGATAACGCGCGTTACCGTTGCCTTTGTTATTGTCCCTTTTTTCGTCGTTCCCGGCTGCAAGCCGCGCGAGTAAATGGAATTGTTGTTAGTTGTTAATTATTATCGATTGGTTAGTCGTCACGACGACGACGTGTTCGTTAGTTCGGCGATTTGTCTGTTAACGTTTGCGATACATGGGACCAGTAACGTGATCTCGGGTCGATAGTTTTTAATCGGTCGAGAAAAAGGCGATATGTCGGTGGAGACGAAAGTGTAACGTAGTAGAGTTTTAACTTCGCGCGTGCATGCTGTTCGCGACGAGCGCACGCTGCTTCTTCGTCGATGGAGCGAGACCGAGAGACGTCCGTATTGCGAAGAGAGAGATATATCATGGAAATCGAAAGAGACTGACTTCGTAGAAACAGAAAATCAGTGCTTCCAGACGAACATGATGAACGTGGCGATTGTTATTCCAACATGGCAGTCGAGTGTACACCTTACGGGACGACACGTGTCGATATATTTTCACCGAGTTCCAATGTTGAACTTCTCCGGGCGAGATTTTGTACGGCCGTACGATGAAACGTACAAAATCTGAAAATTTTGGCCTCCATCTTTGGCCGGACTAACGTGTTATCAATTTGTTAGGGCTAAGCGTTTTACGAAACGAAAGGATTCCTCGGTTTCTCGATGAAGAATCGAAACGAATCTTTTTCATCAACATAGTCGCGGAAGCTTGTGAGAGAATCAACCTTCCGGACGCGTCCCGTCCGCAGTCGAGGCTTTGCTCGTTGTTTCAGCGTTGCGAATGCCCGTTTTCATCGATTCGAGTCATCTTCAACGCACGTTCGACGAATCTAAAACGATTGCCACGACGACACTTCGGATTTGCCGTTTTCCCTGATCAGTTTTACAATTTCTATATCGCGGAGTCTTGGAAGGAAATTGGGGGACGACGGTGATCGTGTATGTTCTACAGCGCGTAGTGCTGCAGAAAAATTAGTATAAATCGCATAGTTATTTTCGTCTACTTTTATACCGCGTAACTCTCCGGATCTTTCTACGATACTTGTGTGAAACTTTCGAATCGCCCGAGAGCCTAACGAAAGCGAGTTGGTCAGCCGACTGACCGAGGGTTTCGCGATGAAAAACCAAGTCTGGTCGTACGTTGGCGATGATTCGAAGGATATCGGCGGCTTCGCAGAATCGTCGGCTCGTCGAGTCAAACGCGAATCGTTTAGATTCCCGTGAACGGGCCGATCACACGGCAAATGTTCAGTGCAACGTCCTTTCGCGCGACTCGTCTTCGAGACGCGCTTAAACGACATTCTGTACCGATACACGGCTTAATCGCAGGCTATACAGTAGTTAGATTTATGTAATGCAACAAAGGAATGGGAGAGAAATGAAACAAAAAAAAAAAAAAAAAAGAAAAGAAAAGATACTTCCAGGTGTCGGAGACACCATCGTCCAACTAACTTTTAGGCGGAAACGTCCGAAACGTTTCGACAAGACTGTAAACGAAATATTGATTAATCAGAAGACTCGAGAATTTTTAATTGTTTAGTTGTTGAGGGAGGGCTACAGAGGGGAGGAATAATTAGTTTTGGGGGGAGGGCAGGGGAAATACGCGCGGATGAAGCACAAGTGGGGAACCTCCGTCGCGGATCGATAACGATCGCATGGTAACACGGTTGTAAAAAGTAAACAAAAATGACAAAAAAGTTACGCAGTGGCAGGGTACCCGTGGTGGAGGGGACCGTGTACGTACGTTCTCCTCTGCGACGAATTTCGTCCTCGTTCCGCGACGGACACTGAGAGACAGGAGATATATTGATATAATATAATATAATATATATATTTTATCTTAATATATTCATTCCATATTAAAATGCTTTAGAGGGGTACCTTGCACACAGACACATATTCATTTAAATACTATATACCGGGCTTTACGTAAAGTACCTTATCTTATTAAATATTATTATTTTTTATGACTATTATATACGGACGATTATAGTTGCATTTTTATTACTATTATTGATCGTTGTCGTGGTCGTTAGCATCGAACGTTAATTTCACTTTCCTTTTTCGCTGTTAAATCTTTCATCACCGCAACGCACACCACTCGTTTCTTCTTCTTAATTCTTCTATGTTTTCGTTTTCATCGTACGTTCCGTAAAGTCGCGCGTCATCTCGACACACAATTCGCTGATATCCGATATCATCGTGTTTTCGAATCATTCTCGAGAGTTTTTTCTATACTCGCAATACTCAAAAGAAGAAGAGGGACGAGGAAAGCAGGAAAGGAAGGCGTGTTTCACCCTCGCGGCCTTGGCACGTTCATTTGCATACACTTGATTCTTTGCCACTTCTCCGCTCCGTGCCTACGTCGTCTACTTTCTTACTCGTACCTTTCGAATTTTCTTCTTCTTTTTTTCTTTTTCTTGCGTTATCGCGGCAAGACGCGCGTCAACGGAGGAAAGACGAGGGGGGGATGACAGGGTTGGAGGAGAAGGGGCGCCGCGATGACGACACCGTTTCATGGGAAACGTTTCCAGGCGGCAGAAACCGTGTCGCGAATTTAAACACCTCTTCGGTTTTCAGATAGGGGAAGGGATGAGAAATGAGGAAACACGGTCCACTAACACTGACAGGTTACTTATATACTAAACGATAATAGCCATATATACATATAACCGACTACATAGCATATACCTATATTTTAGTAGAACTTTGATAAGCCATCTCGCGAGGACTTCCTGATGATCACGAGATCGTTCAGATACATATTTTGTCGATCATTCGGTAACATTCGATGCTTTTTTTACATCGTTTCCTTCCACCTTTCTTATTTCCATTTCGTTACGATCTCATAAACAGAGTCTCGGCGACATCATGGAAAATAAAATGTACGATCAGGTAAAGCTGAGAGTTTCTTGGAAAAAAGTGAAACCCGTGTACCTAATGAGTACATCGTCTGAAACGATAATTCGCGCGTCAGGAAGGATTCGAGGGGTCCTGAACGATAAACATATAGACAGACTAGATCCCGTCGTGCGTCGACGTTTGTAGAGGATCGATCGCAAAATAATTCGCAGAGCACACATAGACACATACGATATATTTTACAACTTACCACTGTGCATCATTGTACAAACGGCGTGAGACATAGCCAGACATACACAGACACACACACACACACACGTATGCGCAAACACTCGAGACATTTACAGACTGACATAGACAGCTGGATATACATATACATATACTTATCGATGAACATGGAATACACGTTAAACACGAAGACAACACTTGTACATCGTTAGATAGGCTATGATAATTTAAATTAGGTTATATTCTGTTAAGTGGTCCGCGTCGTTCGTATTTTCGGCGTGGTATACACTCGTGATTTCCGTTTCTATGACTGATGGTGAGGTTCAACGACGAATGAAATGGACGCGAGATGGATAGTGGGAGAAGAAAAAAGAAAGAAAGAAAAAAAAAATGGGAAATCGTTTTAGCAAATTTTCTTTAGAGTTCCGAAAGTACGTTCGACGCCGAGCATTTTCTTATGCAAACAAATGAGTGGGGGAATAAGGAACGATGTCGGGAAAGAGTGTGGTGTTTCTTTGTTTGGTTGGAAAGAGGAAATGAGGAAGAACGAAGCTTTAAATTACGAGAGTAACGAACACAATTTTATAGTAGTCAGTACTGGGGAAAGAACTGATATTGATAATATTTAAACTAGTAGATTTATTCAAAGAAATTGATTTGTGACTACTGTAAAAATGGCCAAATATAATTGCGGAATATATATTTCGCCCTCCGATCCGCGGTCGGCGCTATATTATGAGAATAATAAATTATTAATGAAATTAATATAAATTGAATGAATATTTAACTGCAAATTATATATTAGTAGAAGTTTATTTGAGTATTTTCTTTCTCTTTTTTTTCTTTTTTTTTTTTGTTTATCATTCGTTTAATTTCGCTCTACGTTAACGCGTTATGAAGAGACCGTGCTACTGTGGTTTTAAATAATTTATGATTATATACCGACGGCTCGCGAAGTCACCCGTTGGGAATAATACACGCCGTTCTCGGAATTCGCGCTCTGTAGTTGGCCTTGCGAAACCCGCGCAAAGACAAGGAGCGAAGGTGCTTCCTTACTAATTTTAACGATTGGCCAGTGCAAAATGAATCGTTCGAAGCCGATTTCGAACCTCGAAAGACTGAATTGTTGAATTGAACGTGTCGCGCTTGGCAACGTCTGCTGTTTCAGCCCCTTCTTTCATCGAAGGGGCGTAGACGAGGGATGGAGTTTCACGAAAACGTAGTAGAAGAGACGAAAAATGTTCGACGATGAATTCGAAAAGCTGAGACACCGGGGACAAACTCGTGACGCGTACCTGATTGCTATCATCGTAGTTAGCCATCCGAACGCCATCCGCGACACGCTTTAGTCTCAGACTGAATTGGACTGATTTATCTTTTTTCTTTTTTCCTTTTTTCTTTTTTTTTCTTTTTTTTCTTCTATTTTTTTTTTTATCGTTCTAATTAGTCGACTCTACATTGGACTGATCTTAAACGTTTCTTGACTGATGTTACCAAACAAATGTTAATTAAAAGTATCTAATTTCTAAGTTATAACACGGTTAGAGGGAAAGCATGAACGCGATCAGATTGGCAGGGCACCGCAGCAGTTCGAATCAACTGAGAAATGAATGAGTGAATGGGAAAAGCGGTACATATGTAACAGAATCGGCGCAACGCGTATTTTAATATTCATTCGTTGGCAAGACACACACAGTTCCATCTTTTTTTTTTTAATTTTTATTATCGCTTCTGTATCTGACATATCCACGTTTCCTTCGTTCGCTTCTCGTTTTTTGTTCTTTTTTTTTTACACGTTAGGCTTTTAGCGCACAGACACTACTACTGTTTAATTATGGTCATGGGTAAGAGGCACATTTATATACATAGTTACACACACGTCTAGGTTCTGTATCTTTTTTTTTATTTCTTGTAATTATTATCCCGTAGACTTATGCAATAGCGACCGTAGGATCTTACAATGTTCTTTTTTTTTCTCTGAGTTTTTTGTACTGTTTTTAACGCAAGCAGCTATTATACAATACAGACATGAGAGCAAGCAGCAGTTTCGTACAACCAGCTTTCTTAAATAATAACGTAAGCCGTAATTTCGTTCAATTACCCTACGATAGAATTAAATTAGCGATCATCCACGGATACTGAGCAGACATATACCATCGACGATATCATTACCTGTGCGAGAACGATACACATCGCGATACCGTTGAATAGAATTATTTTGTAATTCCGAGTTATAGAGAGTATTCCGAGTATGAGAGGAAGAATGGGGAGAGGGAGAGAGAAAGAGAGAGATAGAGATAGAGAGATAGAGAGAGAGAGAGAGAGAGAGAGAGAGAGAGAGAGAGAGAGAGAGAGAGAGAGAGAGAGAGAGAGAGAGAGAGAGAGAGAGAGAGAGAGAGAGAGAGAGAGAGAGAGAGAGAGAGAGAGAGAGAGAGAGAGAGAGAGAGAGAGAGAGAGAGAGAGAGAGAGAGAGAGAGAGAGAGAGAGAGAGAGAGAGAGAGAGAGAGAGAGAGAGAGAGAGAGAGAGAGAGAGAGAGAGAGAGAGAGAGAGAGAGAGAGAGAGAGAGAGAGAGAGAGAGAGAGAGAGAGAGAGAGAGAGAGAGAGAGAGAGAGAGAGAGAGAGAGAGAGAGAGAGAGAGAGAGAGAGAGAGAGAGAGAGAGAGAGAGAGAGAGAGAGAGAGAGAGAGAGAGAGAGAGAGAGAGAGAGAGAGAGAGAGAGAGAGAGAGAGAGAGAGAGAGAGAGAGAGAGAGAGAGAGAGAGAGAGAGAGAGAGAGAGAGAGAACGAGGAATAGAGCGAAGAAAGAAGCAGCAAAGCACTGAGAAAAAACGAGCTTATTCGAAATTCGTCAGATATGTAAAATTGTATTGAGAAATAAAACACAACCGGTGCCATAGGCTCGAAACATCATGAAAAACATCCGGGGAACATGGAATAAAAAAAAAAAAGGCTGAATTCTTTCCGGTAACGACTCCGTTTCGGGTACAAATCGTTTCTTCTTAAGCGAAATAATGTCGAGCGTTACCGTGCTTGCTTATTATTTGTTATCTGCCAAGGTGTTCTGGTTATAATATATATTTATTGATGACTATTATTAATATTATTATATTATTATAATTATAGTTATTATTATTATTTTTATTTTTAAGCAATGTCAAATGCATCTTAATATATTTTCACCACATTTTTTTTATATAATATGAAATGTACTATTTGGTTTAATAATTCGCTTGTATTCTCTTTTTTCTTTTTCTTCGTTTTTAGTCACCTATCACATCCTCGAAAAGTGACAAAACCGATAAACAACGGTCTCATGCCTCCAGGCAGGTACATTCGCTCCTTTAACCCCGTTCGTGTTCCGCACCTGAACCTGTTAAACGATACGCATTGTGTCACGCCTCTTTCTTTCAGCTGGAAGGTAAGTTACGACATTTGAACGTTCGAGCCTGTATCAATGGGAAAACCGACACGAACCGGAATTCTACCGATCGTTTGGCAACGATCGTTCGATAAATCGCGGGTCCGATTCCGTTCACGCATTTTCGTCGATCCTCTTTTCACGTGGCACGTGAACGTAGGAACGTAATCGTACGTGAACGCCCGTCTCGCTTCGGAAATATCGCAGACGGCGCATGGTCGTGTGTGGAGATCGAAGTAAGAACGATTCTTCAGCAGCGGGAAGGGTCGAAAAGGGTTTCTCGAACGA